CATGTTCAATCAATCCGAATCTATATAAAATGACGCTAAAAAAAAGTATATTTATATGTAAACATTCAACTAAGAGAACTAAAAATCACAAATTACTTGCTTAAGTTTAATCAAATACTAGTGTCTCATTTTTGTCCTAAAGCGTTTATTTATTTATTAATTGTTTTTGCAATCATTTTAACATACGGAAAAGGATATATCTGCTCCGGCTTAATAAAAAAAAATCCGTAATTAACTATGAATCTTTTACAGATAGATTTATGGCACAAAATAAGTTTCTATTTTCATCTTTTTTCCTTTCTCCTTCTCCGATCCTTAATGGAATGGACATTTTTTAAAAAAAAAAAGAAAAAACATAGACCTATTAACACTACGATTTATTAAAATAAGGGGTCCTTTATTTTGCGGGAATATGTTAAACCAAATTGACGGCAGAATTTTTGCCCGTCAATCTTAACTTATTCGGGTGAACCGTTAGGATTTTGCTGTCAAGTTTTAATATAATTTCTTTTTTTTGGTTTGTTTTGTCGCTGTCAAAGTTCTATATGTAAAGTTATTTTTGCAAAATCTTTTTAAGCGAGGTTAAAACCTAAACACCATGTTAAAAGATCCTAGTTGTGCTACTCACCAGCAAAAGGGCTCAAGTAAACCCGACCCGAAATAAACCCAGTATCAGCAAGAAAGCGAACATTAGTCTAATTATATTTGCTTTTACAGAAATGCTTCTAAGTCATTGAAGCCATTAGTACTCAGTTGAAGAAGAGCTGTCAAAACTGCATCGAAGATGTTTCTCACAAGGTAACATTACATTTGGCTTAGGTATATTCGTGATACTGTTTTCCTTTTCAAATTTGACTGAAATTTGTTTCTTGGACATTTTGGTATGAAGAACTGAGTACGATAGAGGTGTTAACACTTTCTCTCCTGAAGGCCGCCTATTTCAAGTCGAATATGCAATTGAAGCCATTAAGGTAATTTATTGGTTGGATTTTTAATTTATGTGTTTGTTACGATTTGTGCAATTGTCAATACTATTTGGGGTTGTGATTTTTTTTGAAAGCTGGGTTCGACTGCAATTGGGTTAAAGACAAAGGAAGGAGTCGTTCTTGCTGTTGAGAAGCGCATTACCTCACCTCTCTTGGTTTGTAACCTTTTCTATCCTTTTTCCTTCTGTGAGTATTTGAATTTGTGTGTCAAATTACTTTTGCTTTTTGATGAGTCAATGTTGTTTGTTTATGATAATTAGGTTTGTAAATTTGTGGATTGGACCGCTTATGTTATTCTAGCAGTATAGCACCAATTAATTTTGTTCTTCCTGGACTACTTCGTGAAACGATATTGGAGTCTTAATCAGTAGACAAAATGCTAGTAGAATTAATACACGCCTTGACTTAGCTGGCCTTCAAAAAATCATTACTTTATTAAAAGAAGAGAACAAAGAAATGCTGGTGGAACTTTCCTCGGCTGAATTGTTTCTTGTTTACTTTATGAGAGGAAGATAGAATAAGCAATTATTTCTCAGCAGGCAATGCGAGCTACAGGAATGACTTTTGATTTCTCTCTTCCCTTGTTACATAATGTAATTGGTATAGCTTTAGAAGACATTGTCTAGTGATCAGTGAATTATTAAAGGAGCAACTAGTGAACACTAGCTAAATATGGTAGTGGATAAATATGGGAAAACCGAGCAAACTTCTTACATTGAGAATATTGAAAAGCATGGTACAGTTTCCTATTTGTTGCCTTTTCTGCTCATTATGGGTTGCTTTGTCATCGGTCAGTTGTTTAAGCAGTTGTTGCAGAGTATGAGTGGAGAGCCCACTGTCTGCCTGTCAGTTGTTTCACTAATTCGGTGTTTTCCTCATTCTCATCATAGTTTTGATACTCTTACAGGAACCAAGTAGTGTGGAGAAAATTATGGAAATTGATGAACACATTGGTTGTGCGATGAGTGGACTAATAGCTGATGCCAGGACACTTGTTGAACATGCACGGGTTGAAACTCAGGTATTTAAATAGAAGACACAATTTTTATAGTTCAATTTTATGGAAAATAATTTCTTGCAATGGAATTCTACAGCAAATAAGTGACTGAGCTTTCTTGTTTTGTTCTCTGTCTCAATAGAACCATAGATTCTCCTATGGTGAACCAATGACAGTTGAGTCCACCACACAAGCTTTATGTGACTTGGCCCTGCGATTTGGAGAGGGTGATGAAGAGTCCATGGTTAGAATCATTTTACTATTATATGCACTTATTTTGAACTCAACACTTTCAACTCCTCTTAGTTGAAAGATTTCAGTGTCCTTGTTGTGGATGTCTGATTTTTGAAAGCATGGTATAGGTCCAAATACACCTTTCTGCTTTCCCCATTTATCTGGAGCTACATGGCTTACCCAGTGTTTTTGAGAGCGAGAAGCGCAAAAAAGCGACGGGGGCTCGCCTCGCTTCAAAAGCGAAGCGCTTCATTGAAGTGAAGCACAATTCTTAAAAAACATAACGTAAACCTTGCAAAGACACAATATAAATAATCAAAAAGTTCAATTTAAAAACTTAAAAGTAGGTACCACTACCACCAATTCCTCCATAAACCATAGGACAAGCAAAATCACATAAAAATTAATTTAACAAACTGAAATACACATAAAAATTAATAAATAAAGGCTAAAATACTAATCAAATAAACTGAAATATAATATATATACAATAATTAACTTTATAAAGTGAAATACACATACAAATTAATTAATAAAGGCTAAAATACTAAATAAGTAGAAAAAAAGGAGAAAAAGAATTTCGCACCTGCCCTAGCTATGAGCAGGTGCCTGGACGGGAACAAGATGAAGAAAGAAGAAAGAAAAAAAGGAGAAGAAGAAAGGAGAAGAAGAAGAAAGAAGAAAGATGAAAAATTACCTGGAGCTTCTCTCTTGAAGTCTTGAACCCTAGCAGCAATTGATTTTGAGAAATGGTCTTTACTTAGGTTAGGGGTCTGTTTTGTATGATAAAAAAACAGACCCAACTTTTTTTTTTAAAAAAAATTGACCCAAACATTTTTTTTCTTAAAACTGACCCCCTCCACCACAAAAGCGAGCGCTTTGTCGCTTCTCGCTTCGCGATCGCTTCGCTCTTCTTCTACTGAAGCGAGCGCTTCGTGTGGTCGCCTCGCCTCAGGCATGGAAAAGCGACAAGGCATCGCTTCGCGTCGCTTCTCGCTTAAAGCGATCGCTTTGTCGCTTTTTAAAACACTGGGCTTACCTAAATTTTACTGGATGATTAGATATTTTTAGTTAGTTTAACTAAATTAAAAAAAACCAATGGGGCCTTTCTGCTTGAGTTCACATGTTGTTTCCCCTTATGTGGGTATGAAATGGAGAAAGGGTTAAGGAACTTATATTTCGCAGTCATGTGAAAATAATTCAAAATAATTCTCATTCTCTATCCTTTGTATCAGTAGATATTATGTACGCGATATTGACTGTTGACCATGCTTCAATGTCTTCACGTTTCTGAAAGTTGTATTAGTTTTGTTTGGATCATGAAAATCAGTAATTTGTTGCTCCTCTTTCTGTTGAAAGCCTTTTGAGTGCTACTATATTAGATGGACTCTTCACTTTGTCTTGCATATCTATGTTGAACAAATGATCTTTCAGTAAGCATGTATAATTAAAATGATATGATTTTGAACAGTTGATAATGGCATATCCTATTGATACATAAAATATGCTACGAAGTGGCTAAAAATTGAATGTACCCATGCCATATACATATATCCATTAAGTCCTACCCAAGCCTGTGTAATTTCAAAACTTTACCTATCGTAATGGTAGATTAGGTTGCGCACCCAAGGGTGCAACCTAATAGTCATTGAAGTGGGTGCAAATCTTGGAGATGAGGGTACATATTCCAGTGTAGATAAAAAAACACTATAATTTCCATATACATATTTTTTTTTGATGAAGTAAGTGGTATATTAATAATAAAAGCATCCAGAGAATGCAGAATTACAAAGTAGGACAAGAATCAGCTCATAATGTAGACAAAAACAATCAGAGGATTATGGAGCTGATAAATTCCAAAAAGAGGTCAGGATTATATACAGGGGTATGGTTAACCCAACTAAAAAGGAAAACTAAACAGCTAGCCTTAAGTTGACATCTGGCAGTTGAAATACCATCAAAGCATCTTTGATTCCTCTCAGTCCACAAGCACCACAAAATAGAAGCAGGGACCATAGACCAGATTTTCTTGATGGATTTGTCAACTTTCCAGTAGCTCCAACACACAAAGGCTTCCCTGACACTGCATGGCGTAGTCCAATGCAGTCCAAAAAGTGAGAGGAACGTAGACCATAGGTCAGTTGCAACTGAACAATGTAGAAACAGGTGATTGATCGATTCAGAGTCGCAGAGACACATGTGACATCTGTTGGCTAATTGGAAATTCCTTCTGATGAGGTTGTCTTGAGTTAGGCAAGCACCATGTAGAGCAGTCCAGCAGAAAGCACTTATCTTTGGAGGGAGCTTCGTCTTCCATATAAGTTTCCACGACCATCGATCAATCAATACTTTATTAGAGCTCAGATTAAAATAACTTTCTTTGACTGAAAAAGAGCCTCCCCTCCTGTTGCCCCATTTAAGTTTGTCCATAATCTGAACTTTGACTGAAGCACTTTGGAGAGTACCAAGAAGAGCCAGCAAGTCCTCAATCTCCCAATCATTCAGGTTTCTTCTTAAGTGAGGGCACCATGAGTTCTCCGTCCAATTCTGAGCAACTGTAGAATCTAAATTAGACGCAAGTGAGAACATTCTTGGATAAGTAGTTCCTATCCATAAGTCCTTCCAGAATAGGATATGTTCACCATTGGCCCAACTGGAGTGATGTATTAAGTGAGAAAGAATCCCACAATGACCCGATGCTCTTCCATAGCCCACAAGCATGAGGAGTATTAGCAAAACTGGAGCACCAGTGGCTGTCACAACCATACTTGGCTTGGACTACCTCATTCCAGAAAGCCATTCCTTCTTTATTATACCTCCAGTGTCATTTCATAAGCATACTCTTGTTGTGTAAGGCCAAATCCTTGACCCCTAGTCCCCCAAGCGACTTAGAGAGGATTACCTTAGCCCACTTCACAAGGTGAAGTTTATGATCTTTACTGTTGCCCTCCCATAGGAACGAACATCTGAGTGTGTCAAGCTGTTTCTGAACACTAGCTGGAAGTTTGAAGAGGGACATAAAGTAAGTAGGTATGCTATCCAGAACACTGTTAATAAGGGTTATTCGCCACCTAGGGAGAGGTATTGCTGCTGCCAGGAAGCTAATCTCTTCTCAAATTTTTCAATGATTCCATTCCAAATAACAGTAGATTAGTGTCTAGCACCCGGAGGGAGGCCTAGGTAAGTGNTTTAGACAACCCAAGCCTTCGAAAGTAGCGTTTGGTCTCCAATCTTCATTCTCGGAGTAAAAGGTCCCGATACGAACTCCAAAATCACACTTTTAATTTGCTCCTTGTCTTCAATAATATCTTCTCCCACCTGGATTCTGTCAATACAATTATATCTCCTGTTGGAATTGGCTAATTTTTGGAAATATTTAGTGTTTCTGTCCCCCTCCTTTAACCACATGCATCTTGACTTTTGTCTCCATGATGTCTCTTCAGATCTGGCAAGCTGCTGCAATTCCAAAATTTTATTGGATTCAGCTTGAGTCTTCAATCTTCCTTCTGTAGCATGCTCCATTAGTAATAGTTCTTCAAGTGCTATGTTAGTTCTAGTACTAACTCTACCAAATACTTCCTTATTCCAGATTACTAGATCTTTCTTGAGTAGCTTCAGCTTTTGAGCGAGAATAAAGTCGGGGGATCCATTCACTAGATAACCTTGCCACCATTGTTTGATCATATAGCACCAAACCCTTCATGTTGCAGCCACATGTTCTCAAATTTGAAGTAAGAAGGTTCATTAGTCCAGTCCCCGCACACCAATGGAATAGGTCTGTGGTCTGAAACCACTTTGGGAAGAGCTTGTTGTTGAATAGAGCCAAAAAAATCATTCCATTCCGAAGAAATCAAGAACCTATCGATTCTTGAGGTTTGCAATGAATTTTCACCTCTAGCCCATGTGTAATAAGCCCCTTGGAGTGGAAGGTCTACCAAACCCATGTCTTGAATAAATTCAGAGAACAACATCCTCATAGCCCTTGATCTTCGAGTGCAGTTAAATCTTTCATTCTCAAAACGACATACATTGAAATCCCCCCCCCCCCCCNCGAGGGAAGCTCGAAAAGGAAGAGATTGTGAGTTAGAGGCTTAACTCGCATACCAGCCATCACTTTCCATCGACTAGAGAACCATGTCTGAAGCACTTCAGGTTGAGGATCAGAACAAAAGGAGTCATTGAAGGTTCCGACTAGGCAGCGAGATAAAATCTTCCTGTTTCCGTCTTCTGGGTTGGTCTGAGATTCAAAAACCGGCCATTTTTGCATGCTTGCTGCTTGAAAATAAGATAATTCCGGCGAGGTGAATCTCTGATGAAAAGTGTTGGGGTTCCCCAGAAATCTTAGGATCTTGTCTGCCACATCACTCCAGCCCAGGTTGTAATCCTTCTCCGGGATTATGATCGCCGATTTCCTTTCGTCAATCCATTTTTCAACTCGAATGAAGCGGCCATATATGTTGTAATTTTGATATACTCTGTGAACAAGATTCTGTTGTTTTCTTCCCCATTTCCTGTAAACATCACCTGAACCCCTGGAAGCTTGCTTGAAGTTATCACATACCCATCTCAGATTGTCCTCATCAATTTTAATTTTGCTAATAAAACAGGCACTCCTTTCTGTGAAAAGGAACCACCTAAGATGACATAATGTCAGAAAGTTCAAAAGATTTGTCTCCTGCAATAAAAAATAGCTTTCCCCCCATGTTAAAACATTGACTAAGCCGGAGGGAGACCTAGCCGGAGGAGAGAAACGATGGTTAGGAATAGGTGCACATTTCCCAAGTCAGAGCTTTTTGAGTGCCTAGACACAAACATTCCAGAGTGACATTCAAAATAATTCTCATTCTCTATCCTTTGTATCAGTAGATATTATGTACGCGATATTGACTGCTGACCATGCTTCAATGTCTTCACGTTTCTGAAAGTTGTATTAGTTTTGTTTGGATCATGAAAATCAGTAATTTGTTGCTCCTCTTTCTGTTGAAAGCCTTTTGAGTGCTACTATATTAGATGGGCTCTTCACTTTGTCTTGCATACCTATGTTGAACAAATGATCTTTCAGTAAGCATGTATTATTAAAATGATATGATTTTGAACAGTTATATTGGCATATCCTATTGATACATAAAATATGCTACGAAGCGGCTAAAAATTGAATGTACCCATGCCATATACATATATCCATTAAGTCCTACCCAAGCCTGTGTAATTTCAAAACTTTACCTATCGTAATAGTAGATTAGGTTGCGCACCCAAGGGTGGAACCTAATAGTCATTGAAGTGGGTGCAAATCTTGGAGATGAGGGTACATATTCCAGTGTAGATAAAAAAACACTATAATTTCTTCCAATTTGCCTAAACCTTGGTGGGCAGTGTTACCCTATACTTGTGCTGGTGGGATGTAGCATGTGTTCGATGGAATAATCGAGGTGTGTGCAACCTGACCCAAATGCTACCATTATAAAAAAGTGAAAGATTTGGTGGCTAATTCTTGGATCCAAGATCTTTCTTATTGCTAGAATCTGCTATTGGAAGAATGTCCACCATACAACCTCTTGGTTTCTTTGCATTTGGTTTACTTTCTCAAAATATACCTTCTATCTGCAATCTAGTCTCCGGAAAGATACTCTTGTGAACTTTATTGTAGTTTGATTGGTTCTAGCAGCTCTGCGTATATGTGAACTTTATTGTAGTTTGATTGGTTCTAGCAGCTCTGCGTATATATAAGTTGACTTTCCGGCAAACTTTCTTATAAAGAGTTCATATCTTTAGATGGTGCTTTATCTGCTGGTGTGAACGCGCTGTATAACCAAGCAAGATTGCTTGGAAACTTCTGTTATTTAGGAAAGGAAGCGGGAGCTAGATTCTGCCTAATGTTCAGCTTTATGGACTTTGCTTAATATTTTCATGGAAAAGAAAGATTAAGGGCAAAGGCTTGTTTCAAAACTAAATTTGATATCATTGAATTTTATTCCGGTGAAGTTGCTCTGTAGTGTACAATTAATAAACTTGGTGCATTGAGGACCTGGTTTGCATTTGACGATTATAGGGTGTATCTGTCTCGTTCCACTTGTTTGTGTTTATTGGTGCTTATCTTGCATTATCGTGTCTGGCCTTTCTTGTTTTATGGAGTAATTTTTTCAAAAAATACTATCTGGAAATTTTGCCAAAGTGAACTAATGTCTGAATCTTGTTAAAGATCACACATACTTTGTAATTCCTATTACTTAATTCTTAAAGAATCTTATAGGCTTCCCTTATTTTCTTTATCTTTCTTTCTCAGCACCTCCCTTTTTTAATCTTATGACTAGTGTAAGATTCAATTCTATCACCTTTGTGCATTACTTTTGTCTTTCTTTTGTTCGTGCAGTCCAGACCTTTTGGCGTATCTCTTCTTATTGCTGGTCACGATGAGAATGGTCCCAACTTGTAAGTATTTTCATCCCTTGAATGACATTAGTGGAAATATAATATCTTTTGTTTCCCTAGGTTTTCTCTCGTCTCTTGGATACCTTTTTTTGGGGGGTTTTGATAACGTTTTGTGGTTAGTATTCTATAATATTTAATGCAACTGCTTGGCGATATTTATTCTAACCTTTCTGCTTTGCCCCCACTTTGTTCTTGTGTAACCCCCCCCCCCCCCCCCCCCTTCTCTCT